ATAGTCAGCATGACTAAAGATGGTGACTCATGTATAGTCAGCATGACTAAAGATGGTGACTCATGAATAGTATAGTCAGCATGACTAAAGATGGCGACTCATGTATAGTCAGCATGACTAAAGATGGTGACTCGTATAGTCAGCATGACTAAAGATGGTGACTCATGCATAGTCAGCATGACTAAAGATGGTGATAGTGAGCAGTCAGCATGACTAAAGATGGTGACATGCTCAGCATGACTAAAGATGGTGACTCATGTATAGTCAGCATGACTAGAAGATTGACTCATGCAGTGACTAAAGATGGTGTCTCGTGTATAGTCAGCATGACTAAAGATGGTGACTCGTGTATAGTCAGCATGACTAAAGATGGTGACTCATGAATAGTATAGTCAGCATGACTAAAGATGGTGTCTCGTGTATAGTCAGCATGACTAAAGATGGTGACTCGTGTATAGTCAGCATGACTAAAGATGGTGACTCATGAATAGTATAGTCAGCATGACTAAAGATGGTGTCTCGTGTATAGTCAGCATGACTAAAGATGGTGACTCGTGTATAGTCAGCATGACTAAAGATGGTGTCTCGTGTATAGTCAGCATGACTAAAGATGGTGACTCGTGTATAGTCAGCATGACTAAAGATGGTGACTCATGAATAATATAGTCAGCATGACTAAAGATGGTGACTCATGTATAGTCAGGTAGAAAACACAGTATTATCTGGACCCAAAGTGTGACTGAAACTCTTGTGAAAATTAATTCTTACCTTTGGGTGTCTTGTGCACAGATTACTAGATGTACCACTGACGGCTGAGAGTCGCACTACAGTTTGTTTTGTGACAGATTACAAGGTTATAAAGCACCATTTACAGCCTCGGTTTCAGTCCCTTGAACATCTTACCTCATTCTTGTTGATAACCAATTTGACTTTTACCACATTGTCCTAAGTCTTATTATTGCTAGGTTTGATATTACTGCACAGTACAGTGATGTCTCATTAGCCGGAACAATTGGTGCGGAGCACTTCCGGGAACGAGAGATTTCTGGGTAATGAGATGACTCTCAAAGGTGCAAAATATCCCCCATCCCCGGAATTTTCTTTGAATTTCCGGAAAATGTGTCCAATTTTCGTCTCTCGAACCCGGAAAAAATTACCCATTCCCGTAATTTTCTTGAATTTTCCGGGCACAGTATTCGGAAAATATTCTTGGGATTTTCTGGAAAATGTGCTCCTCGGAAAATCTTTTCCAAAGCCGTAAGTTTCCGGAGAATTCCGACTTTGGGAAATTTTTTTCTAAGAAAATTTCATTTCTGGCCATCAGAGAGTTCTGGGTTTGAGGCATTACAGCTAATAGAGATATTACTGTATTGTGTTGCAGGTGTGTTATCACTTATTTAACTTCTCATTTTGAGGGAGGTTGATATTCTGGTGTAATCTGGAGTGGAATTATGGGAAGTTTCCACTTGGAGGTTTGGAGAAAGATTAGTTTTCCTGCCTTAGGAGTGGTCATCTGCCTTATGAGTGGTCATATCTGCAAATAATCTTCTGTATTGTGGGATTATTGTGGTGGATATATTAACACTTTAAATGGGATGTTCAGTAGGAACCTGTCTGAGCTAATACAGTACTGTACAGGGTTTTTATTTCACTGTGTTTTCTTCATGGCTGTTGTCTTAGGTAATGCACCAACACAGGGGCCATATTCCTATCACTTGTTATTGTCTTCCCTTGCAGTGTGACTTAGATTACTGGAGTTGTATTTTTCTCTCATTGTCTGGGTACATAGAGCATTGTGATGCTTTGTTAAGGTTTAATCTGACTTAAACTGTATAACACTTCTGTCAGCTGAGTTGGCAGATCAAGGTGCCTGTTTCCTTCAGTTATGAGTTGTTGCTCTACATCCTTCACAGCCAGTTCTGATTTATCATTAATGGTTTCATCTCACTTAATGTGAATCATGTCTTGGATATGTTGTGACCTTGTCACAGGGTGGAGATTATGAGAGACTGTATTGGTGTTCCCTCCGTACTTGAGTTGTTTTCTTAGCATGAGAGGGATATGAAGTAAGTGCTTTGTTTCAGGTGGCAGGTTAGTTCTCTCCTTTGTTGGGGTTGACTTACTTTGTGGGTGTCTTGAGGGACAGTATCAGATAGTCTACAGGGCTAGGATTAACACCATGATAGTGTTGCTTACTAATGCTCAGGGCAGCTCCTACATGTATAGTAATGCAGACATGCACATAGCATTTTCTGTCTCATTGTTCCCTGGGAGCTTTAGCATGTCACTTAGATTTTCTTGGGTGAATCACAGGCAGGTTAGCTTATGTTAGGTTTGGTTAAATTAGGTTAGGTTAGGTTATGGTTAGTACTGTATACAGTAATAATTGGGGAGCAACCAGTCTGGTGGAGGGAGTTTTGGGTATAAAACAAACTCTCGAAACTCGTCCATACTATTTTTTTTTTTAAATCTACCTGTACTGTAGTTTGGTGACACAAGACTTTAATGATCACTAAATATCATAAATAATACATAAAAAATACAGTATCACATGAATATTGTGCAAAAAGTAATTGTATAGTACATAGAGAGCTCATTCCCTTGCTGCTCTTACCATATGTAAACACGGCTGCTGGAATTTAATACGACACAGTAACTCATTTGTGTTATGGTGAGAGATTTTTTTTTTTTAAATTTAATATTTCATGATAATATTTTATTAATCCAGCACCAAATGGACGTAAATAATATGGGAATTATGGTGAAATTGCATACTGCCATTATAAAGGGGTCAGGGATGGGGGAATTTCCATTCAGTCCAGCCAGCCACTCTTCAGTTTTCTTATTTTATAGTTTATTATATTTTGTTTATTTCCAAGTCACATTAGAGCATTGTTTTACTGTATTATATTGGAATAGAGAGGAGGAGTGGATACAGCACTCGCCTCCTGTTCCAGGGGCCGGTGGTTTCATCCTCGAGTGCTCCCAGTTCACCCAGCTGTAAATGTGTACCCGAGTTTACAAGTTGGGGAAGTGAAGACGGTCAAGTGCAGTACTGCAGTACTGAAGTCTTCTATAGAAGTTGGGTATGGATAGGTAAATACTGTAGGTTAGGGTAGGATAGGGTATGGTATCTGATAACCAACTTAGATGAGTTGGTTCAATGAAAGTGGTTTTTAGAAGTTCTTTAGTTGTCTTGTCCAGTTTCCTACAACTGTGAAGTACAAATTCCTCTGACATGTGAACCATGTGTGGCACTGACACCATGACTCAGGCTGTGCACCCCAGAGGTAGTACAGGTTATGGTGAACCATGTGTGACACTAACACCATGACTCAGGCTGTGCACCCCAGAGGTAGTACAGGTTATGGTGCTGTAATACAAGTACTTAGTGCTTGTGGAATATAGCAAGTGACCGGCCTGTTGTTTCCTTGTGTAGCTTGTTGTCGTAGTCTTGTTTGTGGTGCTTCATTTACTTACAGTATCATGTCTAGGGACTTGTGAAGCTGTGCATGGTGAGACATGAATACAGTTAGACAATATTTATTATTTCCCCTAATGGGACACCCTTGGGTCTATTAATGGATTTTGTGATTACTTTTGTCCCTTTTAAAATGATATACACTGTATGGTCTCAGGTTCTTGGAGATGACACTTCATCTGCTTCTCTGGGAGGACGTGTAGTATCTCTTGTTTTAGGTGTTATGGGCATGGTTGAGTTAATCTTTTCCCCCAAACGTTACAAAATTATATGGTTCAGAAAAGTACCTCACACACTTGCCACATATTTTATCTGGTTTTTGTTAATGAGAGCTGCCTGGCAGAGAGTGAAGGATTGACCAAGGAAGTCCTCTTTTCTAGCTGAACCTGTTTACAGGCAGCATGGATACCCTTTCTCCAAGTACTTTTGGTAATCAGCTGGAAGCTAAACCAAATTGGCAAATTGACTCAAATTAGTATGACAGCCCATGGCTGTGATGTAAAATGTGCACTGGTGTGTACACAAGTACCATTAGACCTCCATCCTCTTGGGGGCAATTGAGAGGGATGGACAGTCTTGGATCAGCCCTCATCATTTAAATGGGGGCTTTCTAGTATCCTAGACCCAGCAGAATGGCCAGGGTATTATTGAAAGCTGCTTGGCTTTACTTTACTGTAGGCTCAGCTCACTAGAAATCAGTGTTTGGGTATGAACCTTCATATGGCCTTTTATGGAACAAAGTATTGTGATTCAGTTGTAAATGAATTTATGTTTGGGGTTTGATGCAGATTAAATATAAATACTTGAGACACATGGAGTTCAGGTTTGTTGATGTTAATGGATTTTTAAGACCTATCCTTAGAATGGTACAGTGTTCCCTGTTCTCTAATTTTCAGTGGGCAGAAAACTCTTCACAAGACCTCAGTCAATGGAGATGTTAGGATTCACTTTGAGAACTTGTAGAGTGGTACAGTACTGTATCAGTACTCTCTACTAACATGTACTGTAACTTGTAGAGTGGTACAGTACTGTATCAGTACTCTCTACTAACATGTACTGTAACTTGTAGAGTGGTACAGTACTGTATCAGTACTCTCTACTAACATGTACTGTAACTTGTAGAGTGGTACAGTACTGTATCAGTACTCTCTACTCACATGTACTGTACCGTGTAGAGGGTACAGTACTGTATCAGTACTCTACTCAATAAGGTATTGTGCTTAAGTTAATCCTTAAAGAGAAGTGTTTGTCCACTATAATCTGTCAGCACTTGATGGTGAATGAGAGGATGATGATGAAGGGAGAACTCACCGCATTGTTCATTTACAAACTCACAACATGGAATAGCACAATATAAATGATGACATAAATTCATGTGATGATATCTGTGCTTTTTACTACAAAACTTATCTATTTACAGATGAGTCAGGCCAATAAAAATGATGCAGCTTTGGGTGGTGATCAGTAATGTATATAAGTGTCAATGTGAACTTAACGAGATCCCAAATGTGAGTGATCAAGAGGACCCAGATCATAATTGTCTCTCCTCAGAGCAGGTTAATCCAGGATAGGCCTCAGAGAGCCTAAAAATGTTTACCTATATGTGAAGGAGATGAGTCTCAGTGTTCACCTTCTGAAGGACTGAGCAAAGGGACACATGGAGGTTAGTGTTTTAACTATTAGCAAGTAATTGAGTTGTTAAGCTTTTGTAACTGTTGTTCCCGCCAATGAAGCACCGGGTACAGGTTGAAGAGGTTGAATTTTGTTGTTACTTGTATAACAACTTGGAACATCACAGCACAGGCAGTCTTTACCATGTCTTTCATAGACAACTTAATTCCTTTGAAAATATTAGTCACTCACATACAAGGGAAAACAGATACAAAAAACTTTTTAAAAGATCCCAGTAATGAAGTGGAAACTTTTTTATCCTGTTTCTGCTTCATCCAAGTATAATATTTGAGTTAACTCCTGGAAATGTGTTTGGTCTGAAACAACATATTTTCCATCCAATTTTTTTTATTTCTTTTTTTCTTTTAGAATTCATTTTTTGTAGTACCGTATGCCTTTTTTATGATACGGTAAATATTAGAATATTTGAAGGCACTATCATTTTGGGGGGAAAGTTTGTGTTTGAGGCCTGTTAATCAGTCTTGTTTCAAAGATAATTGGTATGATGTAGTTGGGACCCAGGAAGAAAGACCCTTCTGACTCTCTTCTTTTGTTTTATGGGCTACATAAAGGTTAATGATTATGAGCTAAATGAGAACATCGGGATGATAGTTCTGGAAGATCTTGTTTGTGGATGACATTGTTATAACAGAGGTGGGGTGTCGCAGTGGTGGGAGAGTCTTAAGAGCCATGGATTTAAATAATTGGTGGGAAGCCAGAGGTGATGGTGTCATGCAGATAGGATGAGGATTGTTGTTAAGATAAATGCAGAGTTGGCTGCAGTTGAACAGGTTGAAGTAATGGTGATCACTGTTGAAGGTGGAGGGGATACCAGAGGTTGAAGATATATAAGACAATGATTAGTTCATAGTTGATGTGTGGAGCAGAAACTTGGGCAAAGAGGAAGGAGAGTGAGGAATTATTTGAAGAACTAAGAAGAAATTTTTTAATGGATATTGGGAGTGTCACTCAATGACAGGTTGAGAAATGAAGACATTAATTCAAGAGCTGAAGTGAAATGTAAAGCAGTAAGATGACAGAAGCAAAACCTTGATGGTTTGGCAATGTTGTACAACAAAAGGAGAGGGAGGCAATCAAGAGAGCCTGGAATGAACCAATCAGAGAGGGAGGTGATCAAGAGAGCCTGGAATGAACCAATCAGAGAGGGAGGTGATCAAGAGAGCCTGGAATGAACCAATCAGAGGGGGAGGTGATCAAGAGAGCCTGGAATGAATCAATCAATCAGAGGGGGAGATGATCAAGAGAGCCTGGAATGAACCAATCAGAGGAGGGGGGAGGCAATCAAGAGAGCCTGGAATGAACCAATCAAAGGAGGGGGAGGTGAACAAGAGAGCCTGGAATGACCAATCAGAGGGGAGGACAGAAGGTAAGGTGAGGGATGGTAAATAAAGAAGAACAAGGTGGAGGTGTATCTCTGACCTTTGGTAATGGTAAAAAAGAACAAAAGTTTCTTGGTGATTCCTGGAGTGTGTCTCACAATGATGTGCTTGTAGTAATCTTAGGTTTTGTCATTACGTATATTATATACCTGGGGCCATGAATGTAAGTCTTATGAAATATAATTAGAATAAAAATTAAAACACACAATAAATTGCTTGAAGATCTGAATGAATTTAGAAAGAGAGGAGATGATGAAGGTCTTGGGTGTGGGGATATTGATGAAGGGCTTCAGGTGTTCCAAGTGCTGTACAGTACAGTACTATGCTTTATTAACTACAGTATATTTTGACTTAGATTTTCAGAAAATAATTTAATGGGATAAACTGAATAAATTTATTGAAGTTTTTGGAAAACCCCCCAGACATTAATGGATTGTAAAAATATGTTTATTGGGATGAAGAAAGTTACTGTAAGTAAATAAAACATTGTTTAGGGCTAGAGAGGGTGGGGGACAAGGCTCTGTGTTGTCTTCTACTGTACTGCACATGTTATAATGAGAAGTGTAAATAATATTAATGTAAGAAAGAGTTGATTATAAAGTTCTGTAATATAATATACTGTAATATGCAGATAATGGTACAGCACTCTTGTTACAGATAATGAAGAGACAGTACAAAAAGTGATCAGTGGAATACATGAGGACTATGGGCACAAAGTGTACTGTAATGTAAAGATGGTTGTTTCCAAATAAAACAAACAACCCTAAAATAAAAATAATATTCAGCAAGAGGGAAATTGTGCAGCTGAATTTTATTTTAGGATGTAATGTACGGTAAGTTGTCATGTCAGACGTGAAAATAAATTAAAACAAGGTAGGTCTAGGACAAAGGATTTGAGCCTTACAGATCTGTCAGAAAGTGATACTAATTTAAGTTTGGGAATAAGACTTCTGAAATGTTAGCTATGGTCAGCCTATTGTGCACATGAGAAGTGAGAAAATTTGTGGCAAGGCAGCAGAAGGCCCTCAGACTGGGCACTCTAGGGAGCTTCTGAAGATCATATGTACAGTACTGTTAGAGGATAATGGTGAAAATATTTCTGGGTGAGATTGAGAGTAAAAGGGCCAGGGGAAAGTGGAGACAAGGATGGATGAATGAAATAAAAAAACGAGTCTCCAGGAAGACGGCAAATGTGGGAAGACTGATAATGACGGCTGGGGGGAGTTTGATGGGCCTATTTAAGCATGATGCCTTAACTGACTGATGGATGGCACTTGACAGCCTTAAGCTTTACTAGCTTGTGTATTAAATTTTGTTGCAGTCTTGTTCAACTGACTTTTGGCAAATTGCAAACCATTTGTGAACACTGGTAAGCTTATGCGTTCCTCCTCTGTACTGGGATGTGGAGTGGAAACATGTTGCAACTCCTAACATTTACTGAGATTCTGTATTTTAGACGAGAGTGGAAAGATGATAATTGGGATATAGATTCTCGATGACTGGCTGACTCATCTGTTGAAGTAGATGGTGTGTCTACTAAGGGTGCACTTTTTTCTTTTAGTGAAGATCCATCACTATTTCCAAAGAGCTATAAACTGAATTTTGGGGATCTTTCAAGGTGTAATAATCATAGGCCATATTTTCCTTTTTTTTATCATAAAATGAGATTACAGGATTCAATCTTCTGGTTTTGGTATTTTTATGTTTCAAAATCTGTTTTTTAAATTTAATGATGGTCATAGCACAGTTGAACTTATATTTTATAACCAGTGGTGGGCATCGTTCCGCTAACCGCTAATTAGCCAAGCTAACTTTCTCGTTAGCTGATTAGCGCTGCTAACTTTGGAAACCATTAGCGGACCAATTAGCTTTTGCTAAATTCAGTTCCGCTAACTTTAAGTCCGCTAACAAAATTTATACTTGTTTGTTCCTGTTCGTTGTAAGCGTAGACGCCACGACGCTGCGTCTCCAACAGCCAGTCAGGCACGCTTGGTTGATCGGTGTTAGTACGCAAGATATCTCGAGGCCCTGTCAGATGGCAACTTTAAGAGGCTGATGTTTATGAAGGGCAACCAGCATCACGCAGAGGCGATGGAGAAGGCCCATCCACTGCAGCCGAGTGAATGGAATTTTTCGATTATTAAAGTTTAATACTTTTTTTACAGTAAATAAAGACTGTCAGTGTATGTTGAAAGAATCATAGAATGTAATTGTAACTAATGTATAATTTCATTTCTCATTTATTTCTTAATTTAATTAGGATTTTTTGTGTCAATATATTTGGTTATGCTAAGTACTGCATAAGTTCATAATCAGGTTGTCATCCAAGGTGTGCGCCAACAAAAATTTCTAAAAACATACTTTTCATTAAAGTTTAGAGTTTTCTCTTTATTTACATGACTAAGACCAACAATAAGTTATATAAAAATGCACTGGTATAATGTGCATGTGGTTGGTATTGCATATTTACATGAATAATGCATAAGGCCGATAGGTTGTATGAGAATGCAAATTAATTATTTGTGAAATTGTGCACAGTGTACACCTTGATAAGTTGATCATCATCTGATCTTGGCATGATGCTACTTGCTACCTATGCTATACAGTACAATACTATAGTTTTTGGATTCGTTTAATACTTTCTGTCTTTTCGTACAGTAAATCAAAATTATAAAGTGTATGTTGAAACTTGAATGTAAACTAATGTTTAATTTCATTTATTCATTTAATTATTTGTGTACACCTTGATCATCATCTGATCTTGGCATGCTATACCTTTTTGGAAAGCTTTATGTCTAAGCTACAAGACATATGAAAATTTCAGCTCACTAGGTCTGTTTTTAAGGGTTTTAGAGCCTCCCCCAAAAAACGAAGCTAAATTCATATAATAAAAGTTAGCGGTTAGCGTTAGCTTCCGCTAATTTTTTTAGCGGTTTAGCGTTAGCGAAGTTAACTTTTTAGTTAGCGGATTAGTGGTTACGGCTAACTTTTTGTTTAGCTTTGCCCACCATTGTTTATATCTTAACAGTTCCACCTACCTCCCTACAATAGTGTGTGGGGGGGGGGCGATGATAATATTGTATTAAGTGTGTGTAAACTTGAGCCACTGGGAGCAGGCTCAGAAATACCTTCTCTTCATTATCTAGTTGAAAACAACCTGTAAAACAAAAATAGTGTCAAATCACCTTGGAGATTTGAAATATACTGTATTTGTTGTATAAAAGTTTAAGTTATGTAATTTTGTTTTGACTGCACAAAATCCAACAGTAGATGAATAAAACCCTGTTTAGTAGATTTTGGCAGTTTACAAATACCTATTATACAATGAAGTAGTTTAGACCTGTCATTGTAATGTGTGTAATCTTACTTTGCCAGTGGAAGGTGTCTCCGGGGATGTCGCTCGAGTGGAGACCTTTATCGTCAAGATGTGTCATAAGAAGCGCAAAGAGTCGTCAGCTCCCTTAATGCAGGTAAAACTTACAACAAATCTGATTTTACGCAATTTTTTGGTGTCTTTCAGAGTGTGTGAAATGTGTGGCCATAACTTACTACTGATAACATAGAAGAAGGGAAATGAGCCATTAAGTTGTAGTAGGCAGCTACCAAACAGGGAGGTACTACCGCCTGGAAAGATATTGGAAGCATAATGTGTTGTCTAATGGTAGACCCTGCTGCCATATGTGACCAAGTCCCAGGTTGCTAATCTGACTTTCTGCCTCATTTACACACAATTGCAGGGTCTCAATTGTTTCTCTTACTTAACAACACAACATACATATAGCGTTTATCACTATTGATTAATTTTTTTTTGTATTTCTTTATGGTTCTTTATTATTATTATTATTATTATTATTATTATTATTATTATTATTATTATTATTATTATTATTATTATTATTATTATTATTATTATTATTATATTTATTATTATTATTATTATTATTATTACTACTACTACTACTACTACTACTACTACTACTACTACTACTACTACTACTACTACTACAACTACTACTACTACATTTTCGCCCCCAGGTCAATGGCCTGTGTCTGGGGGTTTAATCCTGTTAAAAAAAAGAAGTCTTAATTTATCTACATACCTCTGTCCCCCACTGCTGGTCCACACCGCTTGGTCCCACTGTCGGTCCACACCACTCTGGTCCCCACTGCTGTCCTCTGCCTGAATCCCCCACTGTTGGTCCATTAACTGCCTGGTCTCTACTGTTGGTCTACACTGTTTGGTCGCTACTGTTGGTCTACACTGTTTGGTCTCTCATTGTTGGTCTACATTGTTTGGTCTTCTACTGTTGGTCTACACTGTTTGGTCTCTACTGTTGGTCTACAGTGTTTGGTCTCTACTGTTGGTCTACATTGTTTGGTCGCTACTGTTGGTTCACACTGTTTGGTCGCCATCAAGTTGGTCTACATTGCTTGGTCTCTGTTGGTCTACATTGTTTGGTCTCTCTACCGTTGGTCTACACCGTTTGGTCCTTCACTGTTGGTCCACACTGCTTGGTCTCTACTGTTGGTTCACACTGTTTGGTCTCTACTGTTGGTCTACACTGTTTGTCTCTACTGTTGGTCTACATTGTTTAATATATCTCTACTGTTGGTCTACATTGTTTGGTCTCTACTGTTGGTCTACATTGTTTGGTCTCTACTGTTGGTCTACACTGTTTGGTCTCTACTGTTGGTCTACATTGTTTGGTCGCTACTGTTGGTCTACATTGTTTGGTCGCTACTGTTGGTCTACACTGTTTGGTCTCTACTGTTGGTCTACATTGTTTGGTCTCTACTGTTGGTCTACATTGTTTGGTCTCTACTGTTGGTCTTCATTGTTTGGTCTCTACTGTTGGTCTTCATTGTTTGGTCTCTACTGTTGGTATACATTGTTTGGTCTCTATTGTTGGTCTACACTGTTTGGTCTCTACTGTTGGTCTACATTGTTTGATCTCTACTGTTGGTCTACACTGTTTGGTCTCTACTGTTGGTCTACATTGTTTGGTCTCTACTGTTGGTCTACATTGTTTGGTCTCTACTGTTGGTCTACATTGTTTGATCTCTACTGTTGGTCTACACTGTTTGGTCTCTACTGTTGGTCTACATTGTTTGGTCTCTACTGTTGGTCTACACTGTTTGGTCTCTACTGTTGGTCTACATTGTTTGGTCTCTACTGTTGGTCTACATTGTTTGGTCTCTACTGTTGGTCTACATTGTTTGGTCTCTACTGTTGGTCTACATTGTTTGGTCTCTACTGTTGGTCTACACTGTTTGGTCTCTACTGTTGGTCTACATTGTTTGGTCTCTGCTGTTGGTCTACATTGTTTGGTCTCTACTGTTGGTCTACAGTGTTTGGTCTCTATTGTTGGTCTACATTGTTTGGTCTCTACTGTTGGTCTACATTGTTTGGTCTCTGCTGTTGGTCTACATTGTTTGGTCTCTACTGTTGGTCTACAGTGTTTGGTCTCTATTGTTGGTCTACATTGTTTGGTCTCTACTGTTGGTCTACAGTGTTTGGTCTCTACTGTTGGTCTACATTGTTTGGTCTCTACTGTTGGTCTACATTGTTTGGTCTCTACTGTTGGTCTACATTGTTTGGTCTCTACTGTTGGTCTACATTGTTTGGTCTCTATTGTTGGTCTACACTGTTTGGTCTCTACTGTTGGTCTACACTGTTTGGTCTACACTGTTTGGTCTCTACTGTTGGTCTACACTGTTTGGTCTCTACTGTTGGTCTACGCTGTTTGGTCTCTACTGTTGGTCTACACCGTTTGGTCTCTACTGTTGGTCTACATTGTTTGGTCTCTACTGTTGGTCTACATTGTTTGGTCTCTACTGTTGGTCTACATTGTTTGGTCTCTACTGTTGGTCTACACTGTTTGGTCTCTACTGTTGGTCTACACTGTTTGGTCTCTACTGTTGGTCTACACTGTTTGGTCTCTACTGTTGGTCTACACTGTTTGGTCTCTACTGTTGGTCTACACCGTTTGGTCTCTACTGTTGGTCTACATTGTTTGGTCTCTACTGTTGGTCTACATTGTTTGGTCTCTACTGTTGGTCTACATTGTTTGGTCTCTATTGTTGGTCTACATTGTTTGGTCTCTACTGTTGGTCTACATTGTTATGTTATAGTCTTCTTTCTGCTTACTTCCTTCTATTATGGTGATTGGACACCTACAGTACAGCAGCTTGTAGTTAACCCAGTGTAACCCGAGGGGCGGTAGTTGAGTGGCGTAGGGTAGTGTACAAGGAAGGAACCCAGCCTGCCTGCCTGCCACTCGTTGGGAATTGAACCATAACCATTTGCTTGTGATGTGAACACTTATTGCTTTACTCTGGTTATTTTGTATTATATTGTATTTTATCTTAATGTATAAGAACTGTAGTTACAGAGAATATAATAGTATTTTTTAAGCAAAACACAATTTACTGTTCTGGGGATACTAAGGTTAGGAGCTGCAGTACTTGAAAAATGCATCTGAAATACAGAGCTCATGTTCAGAGCCAAGCCCTACTGTAGTCTGCCATGTGTGTAGAGGTGGTGTGTGGGCTACTGTAATCTGCCATGAGTGTAGAGGTGGTGTGTGGACTACTGTAGCCTGCCATGTGTGTAGAGGTGGTGTGTGGACTACTGTAGTCTGCCATGTGTGTAGAGGTGGTGTGTGGACTACTGTAGTCTGCCATGTGTGTAGAGGTGGTGTGTGGACTACTGTAGCCTGCCATGTGTGTAGAGGTGGTGTGTGGACAACTGTAGCCTGCCACGTGTGTAGAGGTGGACTAGATGTAGCTGTAATGTTATATTTATTAAGTAAATAATCCAGTAATAAAGAAACATGAACCAAAGTACCAAAAGGTTAGTTGCTAAACCCAGGTATATTTATTGGCAGGTATCAGTAGGAACACAAGACGTGAACATCAATCCACCAGAAGGTGAAGGTGGAGGAGGTGGGGGGAGAAATGCCAGCCTCAGTATTCCCACCCACAACTTTACCTCAAGTAATGGCCATCAAGTCAAGTCTTACGTCTTAGTATTTCGGGTGTCATTAGTGCACGATCAGGAAAATGGTAAGTGATAACTAAGTTTTGCATGTTGTGTGTATACATTGTGCTGTAGGTCTGATATTAATGGCAGCTACCAACACAGGGGCACTATCCCTTCACTAACTCACCTCATCTTACTATTTAATATCATTGTGTTGTACATTCACACTCCTCTCAGTTTTTTTTAATTAATTTTATCACCAACTCATAAACATCAAAGTTATGTATTGAACAACAAAAATTACTCAAGCGACTGAACACTGTATAGCACCTCCTTTAAATCTGTTTGTCACACTCCACTGGGCTAGTGTTCTTGCTGGCTCTCTAAATATAACACCCTAGTTCAGGTGACACCTCCTTACTTCATCAATATTCAGAATTTTCAACCCCCCAGAACTTTCCATTTTCAGGAAAATAAAATTTTAGCATTCTGAGAAATTCTGAAAAAAATATATATCTTCTGGGTATTCAACTGAATTTCCAAGAGATTGCATCATGCTCTGTTGCATGTTGAATGCATGGGTGGGTTAACTGCATGGGGAACTTAGTTCGTAGGCTCAGAGTGCTTGTGCTCTGTGATTGGCTACTACTGTCATGTGGTTACATGGGATATCTATGATTGGCTGATGTGTCTCACAGCCTATATCCTCAAATTCTAGCATCATGACATGCTTAGTTCATTGGCTGCTGCCATTGTACAAGCTTGTTTGCTTTCACGCTGCCCTTTTTGCATATGATCTGTGTTGTGCAGCACTATGCATTACTGTACCAGGAAACAATCAGCCAAGAATGCCATTAAAAAAAGGTGTTAAGACATAAGCAGTGATTAGTAACATATCTTTCCTAATTAATAAATAACAAATATACAATGTACGGTACTGTATATTGTATCATGAATGAGTCATAGTAGAATGAGTGGAAGGCAGAGTGTCGGTGAGACGCAGTGGGTGGGATGTCGTGCAGTGGACACCGTGCGAATCTGGTCTGTCTACAGCAACTCCATCACTGAAATTATGATTTAGGTGGTGATAATAGAGGTAGTAGTGGTGATAATAGAGGTAGCAGTGGTGGTAATAGAGGTAGTAGAGGTAGTAGTGGTGGAGGGGGAGATTGTGGTAAGTGGTGAGATGATGATGTGTCAATCAGTTTGCTTGACAACAATGGCTGCAGCACTGCCAGACACAACTGAACAGTTGATGTCCACCCACAAGATTGAGTGTAAGTATAAATGAACAACGTCGTATTCCTTCCACATTGTTACATGAATTTTAAATTATGGAGTGAGAAAGGTGGAGGTGATAAAAGAGTTGGAGTGGAAGGAAGTGGTAACACACAGTGGGTGTGTTGCCAAGTGCATGCTTCTCCTTGTTGGGAACATTGGAACATTCATCCAGAGAATACACACATTTTCGTCACTTGGCTGGATCAGGAACCTTAGCACTCTTCTTGTTCACAGGTGTCATGGTGGAAGGTAAGTAAAAGTTACAAAAATTCCACCAAAAACAGGCAAGGAGCAGGAAACTGTCTGCAAACACCAACCAAAACAGCGCGTGGAAACAAATGCTCTCAATGGAAACTGGTGCCATGAGCCGTGCTGCCATCTCTTGGCAGTCGCTGCTACTGCTGCTGCTCTCGTAGACCTGCTGCTGTCCCGTGTGTCCCATGATAATTCCGTGATAACCCAGATCGGTCAGAGACAAGCGTACACATGGTCATAATTGAGGAGACCGTGATAAACCAAATCGGCGATTATCGGGTCCCGTGATTATTGAGGGTACATGTATTTTCTTTTTTTCCAAGTCACATTAGAGTATTGAAATGATTTTTCCACAACTTTTATAGTTTCATTATATGTAACAATGGCAACATACATATCCATCTAGCAGGTTACAGCTGACTGGCTTGTTAGCCAGCTGACTCCCAGCACGTATCTCAGAAAACAGACTTCGTTAATAATTATTCTACTCTATATGTAAATGATGTGGCTTAGAAATAAAGAAAATATAATACAACACTATACAATAAGAAAAATGAAGAACGTGGGTGTGTGTGTGAGAAGTGAACGTGGGTGTAGGTGGTGGGCTATAACTACGTCTGACTTGCCAGCCTAGCCGCCGTCTTTATTGTTGCTTTTAAAGAAACCATAAAAGTTGTGGAAAAATCATTACAATACTCTAGTGTGGCTTAAAAATAAAGAAAATATAATACAAAACTAAAATACAAAAAAATAAAGAGCATACTTGTGATGGTGGAAGCAAGTGTGTTATGGAGTTTTTTTTTGGGGTTTTTTTTTTTTTTGGGTGGGGCAATTTTGACTTCCTGTAGCTTCCCGTAAGTGAACATCGCGGTTTTGGGTCTTCACAGGGTTTTCATTAACCTAACCCCCTTGTTGTTAAAGGGTTTACTGTACTGAACATAGCAGAATGGACAGTGTATGCCTACTGCAGCCTAGTGTGTGTACAGTATACAGCATATGTACAATGTTGAAAGCTACAGAAAAAACCTGTTGTAGCAAGGGGCCGGGGAGAGGCAGAGCGAAAAGACTGACAGTAAAAAAGAAAGAAAAAAGAAAGAGATATTCTGATTTAACTGGAAAGGAATGTACCTGTAAAAGTGTTAATGGAGGAGTATGGAGTGGGTATGTCTTGTATTTATGATGTGAAAGATGCCAAAGAGAAGGTGGTAGATGGTACAGGACAAAGGTAGGCCATCCTGTATAGTCACCATTTAGTCTGCCTGCATCACAAGCTCAAGATGACAGCATCAGCTAGTGAGTACAGTATAATGTATACAGTAGTATATATTTTGTTTATTTACAATGAATTGTACTGTTCATGTAAAGTGGTGTTTGCTTAAATAAATATAGCTCTTTGACTGTCCAGCAGCAGTTAAGCCTCCATAGCACTGGTGCTCAATGCCAGATGCAATAGTATAGACTCAGAAACGTTCACCACATCCCAGAGAAAATTCAGCAAATGTGCAGTTTTTTCTGGGGATAAGAATTTGCCTCAATACCTGGAAATCTCTTAAACACGGAAACATTCTCCACTAATTGTTCCGGCTGTCGGGGATATCACTGAACGGTAATCCCTGGGGTTAGGGAAGCGTTGAGCCCTTGAGAAATTGACCCCATTTTCCCATTGACTTCCATTTTGTAATTGGAGATGCATTCCTAAAGAAATTTATTCAGCAAAAAGAAGTAATACAAGCAAACTTATGAATGAAAATAAAAAATTTTAAACTCATACATTGATTATTTTATGATATAATATGATAATAAGTACAGTACACAAAATGCTTAAATTTAATTCGCCACAAATGATGTTGAGTGCTGTATGAGGTGAGGTGGTGCGATGGGAATTATTGGGAGATGTAGCAAACCCTAATTTGTGTGCAATCTGGCTAAGTTTTTCTCTCACATCAATTTCCATAAAACATCAAGTTTTTTATCCATCATAATTCCTTTATGGGCTCCTGACACCTGGTTACAAACTTTCTCCCCACTTTTCACCAGCTCTTCTCTAGCATCATTTTACCAATTCTACATGTACAGTACTGCTGGCACTTCAGCTCCTCCTTCACTCACCTTATCTCAGTCACTTCTTTCAACTGTTCACTCACATTCTCTCTCCTCAGCTTGTCAATACTTGTAACCTTTATCTCGCCACTCTGAGTTTCTTTTTGTCTTAATGTTCTGTTAACCATTTTCTTAATCACTCTGGATGTAACCATGAATGGGTTAATTTAATACTGTACCTTGTATAGGGGCATCAGTAAATTGATTTCATATGTTCTTGAAACTTACTGTGTCAGTCTGATGCCTCAGTAGCTTCCACCAGTTCATCATCATCTTGACAGCAGCACCTATTAAAGTGGTACAGTACTTCTGGTATCTAAAACTGGCAATAATTGCTTAGGGCCAGATGTGAGCTGTAGGGCAGGTGGCCGAGTTGTGGACCGGAGCTTTGTCATGGAGGAGCACATCTCATTGTGTCTCTCAGATGATGTGGTGCGGTTTTTGCATTAGGCCTGCTTACCAATCACGGATGATTGGTGTCTTATGAGGCAAGAATTTGATGAGTAAAATTTCCTTGGCTTCCCAGAAACTCAAGGCCATGAATTTTGCTGGCTGTGTATTGACTACAGGTATGACCTTATTTAGGTTGAGGTAGTTCAGGTGTTTCCATCGCATGTATTCCATTATTGACTCTGGGTACCAATGATGAGTCCAGGTCATATCTGCCATCACCCTACAGAACAGAGTTCACTGGATTGACTCTACAGTTGAAGGAGGTCATAACTTGAAGCCATCCTCTGAGTGTTGTAGAACTCATCTTGCAGAAAGTGTAGACATCTCTCATGATCATGGATGATGGTCACAACACTTTCATGTAAAATGCCAGTGTTGGTGTTTTTTTACATGGTCTTTTAGGCACCATAATTATGCTTTAGATCTAGCCTACAGCTGTGTCATCACTGGTTGTCCTGTTCTGCCCACAACTGAAATCTTTGGTCCACCTTGTTATGATGGCATCAATACCATGTCTAATTTCCTTTGCTGTCTAACCTAATTTTTTATAAATTTTGCCAGATTCTGCAAAAATCTTGGACATCATTGTTTAAACTCACTCACCGAAACAATAAATTGTATCAATTAGTCAAATTAAGTGAAATGGACATGCAAACATTCAACTTTATTAACAGAAAGATAGAAGCCTTCTGTTATGCTTTACCTCAGCCATACAAAACCTTTTGAGTGCCCTCGTAGCTTCAGATAGTGTCCAGATGGTATAACCACATGAATTTACCGATGTGGTATTAAATTTATTTTCATTTAAAATGAGTAAGTAGGTATTGGGAAACAATAATTATACATGATATAGATTCATACACGAGTCAGAGATAAGTGCCGAGTTTTCCACGAGGGCTTAATGCTGTAAATGTTGTTAATAAATTTAATGGTCAAATGTGTGTATAGTACATAGTTGCTTCAGTCTTGAGAGATGTTTGCAGAAGCATTACAAGGTTTGAGTTGAGTGGCAGGCAGTACCGTTACAGTTCAATATACTTCAGGTACCTGGTAAGTGAGGTCTGTAGGTGATATCAGTTAATTTAAGAAACTTTTTAGTAGTGTAATTAAACTAATAACCATAAAGTCTACAAGATATGTTGCCATTAATCTTCAGCTGGGGAACCTGTCATCAAGCGGCGCCGTGTTGGCCGAAGTGGGTCGCAGGACTCTCAAGACTCCAATATACCAATGATCGGCAGTAATGCAGTCAATGGAGATAGTCACGGTGGTGTAGGATCAACGTACTCTGGCGAATTAGTGATGTTTGATCGTCACGGACGTTGTTTACTTACTCCAGGACAGTATGAGTTAATGCTGGAGCTTCAAGCAGGAGAATCAACACAGCTATGTAAATCAAGCCCAAAGAAGAATGCAAGCTGGGAAAGTATTGATACCCTCAAGTTTGACGGTATTTTTAATAATATTCCTGTTCTTAAATTTACATTAAATTGGAACAGTGAAAATTCTAATTCCCTCATAGAAAGACCAAGATTACGACCCCTCAAACCCCTAGATGTTGTTTTGGCTAACAGTGCATCTTCAAAGCCCAAGCCTCAAGGTAAGTGATTTTTTATTTGTTTCTGAATTACTCAAAATATAACCAGTTGCTGTATGTTTGTGTAAGAATTGAGCATGATTTAGAATGAGGCTGATCACTTCAGTAAATGGAATCATATACAGTATGAAAACTTAGCCCCATTTCTTGACCTAAATGTATTAAATAGCTTGAATACATATTTTGCTAATTTAATAATGATTTAAAAAAGTATATATATATTTAACATGTATTCACATGAAATAATATCTATGAAAAATGCAACTTTTGTGGCTGCCAAGAACATGGGCCTTTTCCAGAGAGATGATGCTAAGGTACTGGCCTTAAGGCAAGACTGTTTTATCTGTATACACCCCACAGGTTAGGTTCAGTGAGGAAGAAAAGGAAAGTTTCTGAGATGAGCTACTGCATGAAGTATCGGAGCTCGTCGAAAGGGAAATTGTAATACAGTATTGGCTGGTGGCCTTAACGACCTTGTTGGTAAACACGTGTCAGGTTATGAAGGTGTGCATGGTGAAAAAAGGCTTTGGAACAAGGAATGCTTAACCCTTAGGCCCCGGGTGACGTCCCAGAGCGTCCGACCAGCCCGCCCCTGGTGACGTTCCAGATCGTCCGCCTATTCCCGCCACTTTTTTTTTAAATTTGATTTTCTTGATTTATCCCTACGGGGGGGGGGCTGCCAGCAGCACCCTAGCCCGGGGCTTAAGGGTTCAGGCAAAGGAACACTTGCATTTGGAGAGGCACTGGATATGGTGGTATGAAGAAAACCCCGGATTGACTACAACATTGTCAGGAAATTGGGCAGTAAACCTCTTAGAGAGGTAAAAGTTACAGCTGGAAAGAATGTGTCCTGCAGCACCGATTACTTGAATGTTTGTTTTACTTCTTAACTAACTGAATAAAGATGCATTCATACATTAGATGGAAAAAAGTAAATACAGTATAGTCTGCATTTACGCGGCTCTTGTTTACGCGTTTGCTATTTCGACGGTGCCTTACCAGAATGAGATGCTTTAATTACGCGGTAAATTTGGTCATTTACGCGGGAAGTGGCGTGGGCAGGGTGCTTACTGTCGCCCTGTCATCAAAACATTACCGAAGTTCTTCACCCGCCACCCACCAGCCGGCCCAAGTCAGTGATAAAGAGGATATGGACTTTGAGGGTTTTGACAAAGAGGCCCTGCAGCCTCTGTGGTGATAGTGACAATTGATACAAGTGATACAGGTGAGGGCCAATAATCTGCCCTCTGCCTCGACCAACCTACCATCCCCGTGTGCTCAGCCATCTTTTCTACTAACATAAGTAAACCTAATATTATTGATATTTCTCTTAATTATTAATTGTGTGTGCATACCATCATAAAATTAAGATGTTATTTTTACTACGAGGTACGTATTGTGTCGGAAAAAGTGGAGTTTGGGGGTTGGCCCAGTCTCTATTTCAATTAATCCCATATGTTCTGTCATTTCATTTACGCTGCTTTCTCGTTTTACGCTGTCCTCCACGGGTTCAATTGACCGTGTAAATGCAGACTAAACTGTACAGTAAATCCCCAAAATTATGCCCCTGATTCAAAGTCACTCATAATTGGTAATGTTTTGTCTATAAGATATACAGTACAGGCTGTATACTGTATTACAAATTTCACAATATTTAGTAGAATTTCAAAATATGAGACATTTAGAAATATTACAATATATATATATATATATATATATATATATATATATATATATATATATATATATATATATATATATATATATATATAATATAATAATAAATTATATATATATATATATATATATATATATATATATATATATATATATATATATATATATATATATATATATATATATATATATATATATATATATATATATATATATATATATATATATACCTGTATATATATATATTCGAAAAATCACACGCCATTGTATTTACATGAAATATATATATATATAAATATAAAAAAATATATATATATATATATATATATATATATATATATATATATATATATATATATATATATATATATATATATATATATATATATATATATATATATATATATATATATATATATATATATATATATACAAGTAAATCTCTGTAGGTGCGTGGATTCAGGTATATGCTGATAACCACAAGGAAAGAAGAAACCAAGGTCCCAAGCGCTGTGTAATTCACACTCTTCAGTGAGTACAGACTAGAGAGAGTAATACAAATCAAGGTGTATATATACAGAGGAGGGTGAGACCAGGTCCACAATGGTCAGGTATTAGGTAATGACCCTACTAATCTTTAATAGCACACAACGGTTGGTGGTCAGGTCAGATGGTCAAGGACCCGGCCTTCTCACCTGATCACAAATCTTCTTAATTACAAAATTGTCCAGCTTGTACATGCCGTTACTCAAATTCATGTTGAATGCTTCGTATGTTTAATAAGACTAGATTCTATGATGTTCCTACTGTTAATTGACTTACGTGGTAATATTGAGGAGGCATTATCCAGTCAATGCAATGCTTGTTATCCCTCAAATGAACAAACAGAGCATTGGATTCCTGGCCTGTCCTAACACTGTATTTGTGTTGTTTAATTCTAGTTGCAAGATCTTTACCTGTCTGGCCTAAGTAAAACATACATCCCTTGCAAGGAACTTTATAAATGCAACCAATTGTGTTGTTGGGGGAGTTCTGATTAACATTTGTTTAACAGTGCATGAGTTTTAAATGCCACATTGACGCTCCAGGTTTTTAGCTGTGCAGGAATGTGTGAGAAATTTTGTGAAATGGTAATATTAAGATATTCTTATGGTCATGGTGGCTTGGGGTCAGTTCTATAAAAAGTTTTCTTAGTAATGTTTAAGCATTTGTTCATGAAAGATCTAGGTATTTAAGTTTGAGCCAATATTATATATATTTGTATTCCTATCGATGAATTCCGACTGCAAATTCTCAAGGCACGTAAAACATTTTGAAATACTGACTGTTTGACTTTATTATGGTGGGCAGAAAATAATGAATGTATGAACACACATTAGTTGGTTTCTATAAATACTGAACTTAAATGTTACCTATTCTGTGTATCAGACAGTCTAGGAATGGCAATTACAGTCTTGCTCTAATTCCACAGTGAATTTGATCGAGGGGGCTAAGTTGTTGTTGTGGTAGGAAAGCTTTAGGTCCTCATTACATGGCCAGAGACATAATACATCATCAACATATCTAAACCAGACTGCTGAGGGTGGTAAAATATTTCTTTTTCAAAGAATTCCATATATAGGTTGTTATCACAGGAGAGTGGATTACCCATTGCCATACCAAATTTTTGAGCATAATATTCCCATTGAATTGATGCAATCCTTAATACATAGTTTGATGAGTTCGATGAAGTCGTCTTTCGAGAGGGCAGTGAATGTTATCCAGGAATCTATGAGGAACTCTAGTAAATCATCAACTGGGACCTTTGTAAAGAGTGACGTTACATCAAAGCTAACCAGTTTAAAATCATGATTAATGTGTGTTATTGAGTTTATCAACCAGATCCATATTATTCTTGATATTGGAGTTAGAAATGTTGC